AGAGAGAGAATTTTTTTAATATTTATTTTTTACTTTTCAGGGGACACAACATCTTTGTTTGTGTGTGGTGCTGAGGATCGAACCCGGGCCGCACGCATGCCAGGCAAGCGCGCTACGGCTTGAGCCACATCCCCAGCCCCCACAGTAAAGTAGTTTTACGTGGAAAAATTAACCCAAAGTTCCACCTCATACCATACAAAATAGTAATTGAATCTGTATGCAATATATTACCAAACATATTGGTATTTTCCAAATTGACAGGTAAAATTATCTTATTATGGGTGAAGTTCATCAATTTTATATATTTTAAGAACAGCTAAAACTATGAAAGCTAAAATTATGAAAGTCCTAGAAGAAAGCATGCAAGAGTACTCTATGCCCTTGGTGTAGGCAAAAGTTATTAGTTAAGATACAAAAGGCACTACTTATAAAAGAAAAAAATGATAAATCAACTTTATCATAATTTGAACCATCTGCCTTTTGTAAAACACCATTAAGAAAGTAAAAGGGAAAAGTGCATGCTGAGTAAAAATATTTGCAACATTTATACCTGATAATGGATTTCTATTCAGAATACATAAGGAAGTTCTACAAATCAATAACATGAAGATAAAAGTAAACAAAAAGAAAAGAAAATGCAGAAAAAATCTTAAATAGGCACTTAATAAAGAAAGGTATACACAGTTGTCCAAAGCATATGAAAAGATGATAAATATCATTAGTCATCAGAAAACTACAAAATAAGACTCAAATGAAATACCAATTTCACACCTGCTAGAATGACTAAAATTAAAAAGGTTGACTATGTAAAGTAAGCAAGGAGATAGAGGAATTAGAATTCTCACACATTGCTGGTGAAATTCTATAATGTTAAAACCATTTTGAAAATTAGTCTGGCAACTTATTATGAAGATAAACCTGTCTACCAAGCAATTTCATTCCTTGATATGTGCCTAAAAGACACAAATAAAAATATTCATGAAATTTTTATATAGTGATATTCATAGGAGGCTTATTCATAAAAGCCCAAATTTGAAATAACCCAAGTGTCTATTTATAGAAGACTAGATGAAGACAAAATTGTTTTGTGTTTATACAATGAAATAAACCTATACAACAATATAAAGATATGAACTACTAACATATAGAAAAACATGGATGGATATAAAAACTGTTACATTGAGAAAAACAACTAGAAACAAAGGTGTATTTTGTATAATTCCATTTATGTGAAGGTCAATAATAGGCTAAATAAATTTGTTGTAGTAAAAGTGAATATAGTAGATTACCATTGGAGGTGGGTTCGAATCAACTGGAAAGAGACATGAGGAAATCTTCTGGGGTTATAAAAATTTTCCAATCCTTTTATGAGTGGTAGTCAATGAGCTTACTGCAACATAATAAATTAACCAATTGATCAACTTGAGATTTATGCATTTCACTGAATGCAATTTGTGCATAAATAGAGCAATATTTTTGAAATATAAGAAAAGCACAGACATCAATTACTGATGGTATGATAGAGTAGGTACTTTAAAAAACATGTAGATGCTGGATAAACAGCAACCATGTTTAAATGTAATTCTGTATAGAGTAAAAGCACAGAGAGGACTGAATTGCTGTGTATAAGTGGCAGGAATTTACAGTATGGAAGGTGAAAACTGGGGGATTAGAAGAGTTTGAGGAGAAACTAGATGCAGGGAAACATGGCAGAAAGGTGGAAAATATTTCTAGCAAAAAAATCCCTGAAGCAAAGAGTGGTTAGCAGTGTTTAGATCAATGATAGCTGTAACTTATTGCATGTACTAACTATTCTGAGCTATGACCCCTTTTGCAATGCCAAATCTTTATTGAAAATGTGATAGATACAACTTTTCTTAATGATGATTTGAGAAAAAAAATTATGAAAAAAAAAAAACGTGCTGGGGATGACCTGGGTATCATCTGGGCAAGAAAGAATAACAGTCATCAGATCCATATAATAACAGGGAAATAGGAAAATAATGCCTCATTCCCATCAATACATACACAAGTATTCTCTGAGTGCTAAAAATGTGTATTGCTTTCAGTAGCCATTCATATTTTATAACTCTGAGAAATTAACTGCTCAAATTTGATAAAGTAACCCACACCAAAATATGTCCCATTAAACAGAGAAATATTGATAGCATTTCCATTATAATTAAGAACCAAAAAAGTTGACTGCTATAACTCAGTATTGTTTGGAAGATTCTGGGTTGCCACAAGGAGACAAAATTTGTATAATGCTGAAAAGGGGAGATAATTCTATCATATTTATAACTGATACAGTCTTAGAAAACCTAAGTGACTTTTTAAAATGTATTATTAGTAGCTGCCAAGATAGTAGAATACAAGATATTATTCGTTCATCAAATATTTAATGAGTGCCTCCCATGTTCTGGGAATTGTTTTAGATGTTAAAGATAGAGACACAGCCAAACAATATATCCCTTCCTTCATAGAGCTTTCAATCTGCTAGTGCTGGGAAACAAACAGAAAATAAAATAAATAAGTAAAATATATCTATTATTAGCTGATAAAACTTGGAAGAAAAAAAAATAGAGAAAGATAAAGCAGAGAAAGCTGTGAGATATATTTGAAGACAGAGCTACAGAATCTTGATAGATTGGATGGTGAATGGGATTGAAGGAATTCAAGGATGATCCCCAGGCTGCAGGCTGGCCCACTGAAAATCATTTACTGATATAGAGAAGATACCTAATGGAGTAGATTTGGAGAAACAGATCCAGAAGTCCAAGCTTGTCTATTAGATATCCAACTAGAGACAAAAGAGTTGATAGGTGTGTCCAATATTCGAGGAAGAGGTTGAGGCTGGAGATACAAATTAGGGAGTCATCAGTACATAAATGATATTAAGACCAGGAGATTAATGAGTAATACAGGAAGTAAGGTCTGAAAAGAGTAGTAGGAAGATCAAGTCCTGGCACACACCAGGGTTAAGAGGGCAAGATGATCTGGAAACTCCCAGTGAAGAAGAGGGAAGCATATTCACCAAAATCATTAGCTTCCCTCCTATGAAGATAATCCATTCAGAAGGGAAATAGGAGAACATTCCCACTTCCATCCATTAAATACCTGAGAATAAATTTAAGAGAAAATGTAAAAATTCTACATTAAAAAAACAATAAAATCGTTTGATCCTCAGCACCACATAAAAATAAAATAAAGAGTTGTGTCCACCAAAAAAACCTGAAAAATAAATATTAAAAAAAAACAATAAAATCTCATGACAAAATATAAGACCAAAATATAAGACAAGTAAAGAAATTTACCAAACTTCCTAACAGGAAACTTTCATTCACAATATAATGATTTCAATTTTTTCCAATATAATTTCAACTAAAATTCTAATAAATTTTTACTCTCCAGATATTGGAGATAAAAAATTAAAAATCTACCCCCAAATTGTTTATAAGTATGAATAGCATACTTTTCTCCTTTCCTCCTCTTCCCTCACAATTTGATGGAGCTAAAGCAGTGTCTGCAATGGGAGAGGGGAATAATGGAGACACACAGTGGGTATTGGGGGCCCTGCAGGGGGAGGAGGTATCTGCAGAGCAGTCAGACCAGCATGGAAATTGCAAGCCCCTGCAGGATTAGGAGGTCATCGACATGTGCAAGCAGCCTGATGTGAGGTATCGGAGTCAGAACAGGGAGAGGAGGACATCTCTGCAGAGGAAAGGCCCCACTTGGGGTATAGATGGGTAGAATCCAAGCAGAACAATGGCTTCCCACTAGAGGCATGGGCCCAGCACTGAGTGTCAGAGCTTAAACAGGATGAGAAAGGTGTCTGGCTGCACAGGAAGTCTGCTTGCTACAGAGGACTGAAGACTGAGGAAAGTGAGGATGATGTCCAGCAAGCTGGCCCAGGCTCTTGAAGCCTGATGAGAGTGATAAGGACATCCATGTGGTGTGGGGAGCAGGTTAACCCTGCACTAACTGTCAGAGCCCAGCAGGGTGAAATGAGGCTCTGTTGGTAGAGGGTCTGAACATTTGTACTGCCTAAAAAATGATATATTCAAATCCTAACCCCAGGTCACGGCGTCAGGAGGTGGGGTCTTGGGGAGGTGATTAGGTCCTGAAGACGGAGCTCTTATGACTGGGATTAGAGTCAATGCACAACTGGCAATGTGTTATGAAGTGCTTCTATTTACTGGTAAAACAAAACAAACTTTTTTAAAAAATGGAAGAAAGTTATGAACTGAAGAGGAATACAGGTGGCCAATAGAAATGAAAATCTTTTCAACCTCATTAGTGATCAATAAAATACAAATTAAGGCAACAATTGTACACTAACAGTTTGGAGAAATTACAAAGAGCAATAAAATCCTGGGCTGGTAAGGAGGTAAAAGCATGGGCCTCCTTTTACATGGAATGTGTGTGGGTGAATTGCTATGACCTTTTGAAAATAACACTATGGTATCTAAAACATGCCAAGGTAATGCACCACAAGAGATGCTAATGATCAGGGATTTTACTTTTAACAAGAAAAAAATATTTTAAAGATTACAATGTCAAGTTCAGTTAAAATACAAGCCATAGAGACACAATGTTTGGCAGTCTTTCTCCACAAATGTCCTCTGAGAAAATTAAACCCTACAGAAAATAGTTCAAATCTCTTTTTAAGTTTTCCCAGCCAATGTTCTTAGCTAGTGCCATTTCTAGATTCAATGGAGAGAAGTTTATCCATTACACTTAATGGATAATTTATACCATTGGTGCATAATTCCTTCACAGAGTACACAAGGGCTTGAATAGAGAGCCTGAGGAAGAAGAAAGGGTCAAGAAGAAATCATGTGTTCCTGGCTTGGGACTTGAAGAGTCAGTTCTGTTTACTGACTGAAAGACATACATATTCCCCTTCTTAGTGTAGAAAGTTCTGTCATCCCCCACAACAAATGCCGCAGTCCGGCTGCAGCAAAATAACTGGGGGGTGACGAACAACTTGTGTACATTGATACAGCAGGAGTGGGAGCCTTTTATTGTAGGACAGGAGGGGTATATATACATTCCACACAGCTTATCTTAATTAACATAAACTAGATACAGCAGTCAACCAATAAGGAATCTCCACACTTGATGGCTCGCTGGCATTACTTCACAAACCACTCCCTCTGGCAAAATGCCAGGCACCATCTTGACTTGTTTACAGACCCTAACAAACAAAGAATTATTCTGCCAAGTATTGATAATTCCAAGGTTGAGAAATCCTGTTCCAGGAGAGTTTGCACACTGAAGCAAAGTAATCCTTTCAAATACAAATCTGAACTTGCTTGCTTAAAGAAAAAAAAAAGTCCCAATGGTTGAGTCTTCATGAATACATTCCTAATTATTCACTCAATATGTATGGACCACCTGTCCTGTGGCAGTGCTGAGTTGGGGTGTGATATTGCAGAGATACCTCTACTCACTACACAGATCTTGACAAAGCAGAAGTGATTGTGAAACATTGTCATCCTGTCATCTCTAGGGCCAATCCAGTAAGCTGAAAATAAAGTAGGGGTGTAGGGGGATGAAAAACTGGAACTTGGTTTTAAGACATGCTGCTGGGACATCTATGTAGATTGGGCAGAAAAGATAAGAAAAAGATCTCACGTGATTAAACCCTAAAACATACACCTCCATTTTCCCCAATCTTAGTTGAGGGCAGTGAAGTCTGATTTTCACACCTCATCAAAGATAAGTGTTTGACATTGCTTCCTGGATATCAGTTTTATTGGGGAAAACCTCAAAATCACTTTCCAGTCAGCCCCAAAGAGGAACAAGGCAATGGTTCTTTGATACAAGCTGGTCACACTCCAGAACTTGGATCTTCTGCCTTTACCAAGGCCTTGGCCATCCTTAGGAGCCTCTCCCTAGGGCCGGGCAGTGGCTGTGCTAAGAGCTGAAAGCCAGAGCTAGTGGGTTTTCTTGGTGAGGTCTAGCTCAGAGGGCCTGGGCAGGTGCCTCCGCATTCACTCAGCAGCTTGGGGACTTGGTTGCTCCTCTCTGCTCCCACCAACGCCCGCTGGTTGCAGCCGGAATTAATAACATAAGCAGCAGGAGGCTTCACATCAGAATGGGGGCTGTCTGGATAATTATCCAGGGGTCTAGGACCAGTCAGTAAATTACTCCGTGACCTGGGAATTCAGCAGGTTACCACCATCACTCAGGCCTGCTCACTTTATTGCTCTCCCCTCCTGCTGCACTGATATTTATCTGTCTAGTTTACATTCAGAGCATTGATTTCATGCCTTTTTGTTTTCCATCTGAGAGGTGAGAAGTAGGCCCTTTGGGAAGACTGGTTCTCAGGTCAGTGGGATGGCTATGGTGACACAGGGAAGGGAAATACTGGAGTTTTTGTTTCATGCAATCATTGAGTGTGCCCAGGCATGTCAGCACCTGCTCTCTGGGGGTGCTCCAAAATGTATTTCAGTCATTTTTGTAAGAGTTGTGACACTTCTGGTAAATTGCTTCACATGCTGGGGGAAAGAAAAGGCAGAGAAAAAACTTTCACAATGCATCCCCTATATTTTTGCTATCCCAAATGAGAGTAGCATATACAAGCTAATTTCCCCAAATGCAGGATGGTCTTTCCTTTGGGGCATTTGTAGGAACCGTTCCCTTTACCTAATTTTTGCCTTCCCCTTTACCACATTCTCATCTTTTAGGTCTTCCTTGGATGTCACTCTCCTCAGGAAGCTTTTCCTAACCTATCCATAATAGAATTGGACCCTCATCCTTCCCTGGGCTGCCATAATATCCTATTCCATATTACATGACTAACCCAGTTTGTTGCAGTTACCTGTTTTCTTTTCTGCCCTATCCATATTGTGAGCCTGGTGAGAACAAGAACTAGCCCTTATCCTTACCAGGCTCTGTTTAAAGTAGCCAGTGAAAGTAATAAATAGGCATTGAAAGATATCTCCAAACTCTACCATCCAGTCAAACCTGATTCCCAGCTTTAGCCCAGCCAAGACATCCACTTTCAACAAAGAGAGGGTCTTGTGAGCTCCCAGTCAGGAACCCATAGCTTCTTTGCCATTCCTTGGAATTGCCAACTGCATCTCTCCCTCTTTTCAACTCATTTCTCTAAATGCATCTGAACATAATCCTGTATTTCTCTTGTAACATTCTCTTCGACTCCATAATTTGTCTGAAAAGCACAAGTATTCCTGGTTTGACAGGTTAAACTACATTATAATCTTGATTAAGACACTTACATGCATTCAGCCTGGATTTCCTCTTGGAAAGAATGAGTTCATCATCTCTGAAGGGTCTTCAATCTTCCAGTGTGTCTCCAATCTATATATAAAGGCATCAACAGTTCCCACTTTGCTGCAAAATCTTTTTTGACAAACAGGATAGAAACAAAGTAATTAATTAAAAGAAATAACTTGCCTCCTTGTTTTTCCACAAAGGTGCAGTATAGGAGATCCTAATATGGCCCCTTCTTACTCTCCAATGTACCCAACTCCACACTAACTGAAAACTGCTTCTAGTTTCTCTCTGCACAAAAACTTTATGGGCAATGTGCTTTGACCTGTGCTGTCCCCTCTGCTTGGAATGTCCTTTCTCTTCTACATACTGAGCACATTTTCAATTCTGGGATGGAACCCACCTATGATCTCCTTCTCTAGGAAGTCTTTCTTAACTTGGGATGTAACAGTACAACGAGTTTAGACTATGAAACAGCTAGAACTGTTCTAGCTCACCACTTACCACATGTGACACTGTGGGAAAGTGACTTCTTTGATCTGACTGAGTGTCAGCCTCATCCATGAAATGGGATGATACTTATTTCTACTTTCCAGGGCTGTGGGGGTTGAATAAGGTAACTCAAATAAAACATACAGCTCAGTGCTTGGAAAACAATAAATACTACAGAAGGGTTAGCTGCTATTACTATGCTCCCATCTTATAATTAATCACTTGCAATATACTTTTCTCAGACTGCATTTTACATATCCGCAACCCTACGAGATTGCAACTTCCCTGAAGGTCAAGAGAATAACTTCCAGCACATAAGTGGGCAAATGCTTTCTTGAGTTAAATTATACATCTAGAAGAGTATTCTTAAAAGAATAAGAATTTAAATTTTTAAATAAAGTAAAATTTTAAAAAGTAAGTTATGTGATAATATTGCAGTTTGGCTGTGACACTTTCATGTTCATGCTCCCATTTTACTTTGATTTTCACAATGAACTTATATGGAGGTTTTATTATCTCTGGTTCATGAAATGAGAGAACAGATACTAGAGGAAAATAATTTTGTCCCCAAATCACAGAGCAGGTTGCAGGACTCAAACTGTTTCTCTTTTCTCCCCTCTTAGGCTTCCCTTGCCACTCACTCACCACCCCCACACATACACACACAAAAGAGGAGCTTAACTACTCTTACAACTCAGAGGTAAGATTTTAAATAATATTCACAAGTTCCTGTCACCCAGCATCAGCAGAAACAGACCCTTCTCCAAAATGGCATTCCCAATAGTGACCACAGTCCTTGCAGCTCAGGATGCCCTGTAGAAAGCATGCCTTGTAGTGTACATCTTGCTGTCCATGTTCAGAGGAGATGTTGCTTTCTGTAGGTGCTTTGGACTCCTCCAGGCTTTTCCTGTGCTTTTGTGCAGCTGGGAAGGTGAAGCATAAGGCTATCAAAAGCTGTGAACAGTCCCTACCTCTAGGGACAGGCATTTACTAGAAGAAAGAAGGACCAACGGCTTCTCAGAGCATTGTTCAGCCACATTAGAGAAAGGATTAAGCAGATACATTCAGCTATTCTAACAGATTTTCTTTAAGCCTTGAATACGCCTCTCACACTCACTCAGATAATCACATTAGTTTTGTCATTAAAAGATCCCTTTTATAGAAAGTACCTAAACCGCTTAAACCACCCAGAGAGGTTGCATACATTATCAAACACCAAGACAAACAAAAGGGATTTTCAGTCCCACATCTCAGTTCTCCTTATTCATCAAAAAAAGTGGGGGGGGGGGGCGCGGCAGAGAATCAAGGTAGAAATGATCTTGCAAATGGTGAAAAGTGGACAGCAGCTCTCACTTCCTTCCCTTGGCACTCCCACTTCAATCAGAGCTAGGAAGACTGGAAAACTCCTTCAGCACTGAGGCCAGCAAAAAACAGGGGCTAAGACAGAGATGAAGACAGCAGGGCAAGGAGCAGGTAGAAATAGACGTGCTTGCCTCCCTGCCATAGGAAATTGCATTTGAAAACCAAAGAAAAGTAGAAAAGCACTGGTTTTGCCACTTAGTAGGTCTGTCTGGGCAACTTAGGGAGACCCTGTCTTAAGATATAATAAATAGGGCTGAGGATATACACTGTACACTGTAAACCAGTAATAAAGTCACCTGCTTTAAGGAATGTAGTTCTATTTTTTTTTATTTTTAAATTTTTTTCGGTCTCCATTTCTGCTGCCACAAAATTCATTTGCTTTTTAGGTCTAAGCCAGTGGTTCTCAATTGGTCACAATTGAGATCTTTGGCCATGGTTAGGGCTGGCAGGGAGTCACTTTGTTTCTCTTGCCTTCAGCTCTTCCTTTATAAGATTGGAGATAGTATCTATCTTTCTTCCCATCCACAAGGGACAGGCAGTAGAGTTCTGAGGACTCTTAAAGCATGATCTAAGCATTAAAGGGGAGGTTTCCTTTGGTTCTTTAAAGTCCCCCATAGTGGTAGGAGGTGTCTGTTTCGTTTTTCACAATGTGGTTGGTGCCTAACTACTGGCCCATAATGGATGTTTAATCATTTTTCTCAATGAAGAATGCATTCACTGACTTTCTCCCCAGTCCCCAATCACCCTGCAAACTCTCATCCCTCAAGTCCCAGTTTGGACATTACTTCCCCTTTAAAGCCTTCCTCTGACCTTCAGGATGAATTCTTCTGTGTTCCACAGAAGACATCCTGAATGCAATACACATTCTGAGCACAATGTACTCAATAATCTGACATTGTGACAGTCTTTTCCCATTACCCATGAGAATACTGGGCTTTACCATTTAACTCTTCCTTCTTAGCACTCTACCTGCACAGGGTTGTTGTTAAATTAATGTTTGAATTAACAAATCAGAAGTAAACAAACAATCCAAAGTCTTGACATTATTTAGACCAGAGAAAAGGAAGTAACTTAAGAATCAGTCTCAAAAATAAAGGTTGTTGAATTTCAGAGAAGATATTTACATCAAACATTTATTATTATGCTGATTGGAAGGTAAAGTGTAAGGCTACTTAATAAATCAAATCAACAAGTCTATTTTCATTTTTCGTCTCCTTTGCAGGGTAAAACTTGAGGAAATTTCTTAAATTATATGGAGATTTAGATTAGACTTCATTAACATTAACACTGTTGCCATCTGGGACCAGATAATTCTGTTATGGAGGGCTGTCTTTTGCATTGTAGGATGATTAACAGAATCTCTGGTCTATTTCAGGAAAGAGCAGAACATTCCCAAACAAGTTGTTTTGATAATCAAATGGGACTTCATCATTTGGGGAACAAGATTATCACTAATTGAGAACCACTGGCTTAGACCTAAAAAGCAAGTGAATTTTGTAGCAGCAAAAATGGAGACCCCCCCCCCCAAAAAAAGTAGAACTGCTTTCCTTAAAGCAGGTGACTATATTACTGGTTTACAGTGTACAATGTACATCCCCAGCCCTGTTTACTATATTTTAAGACAGGGTCTCCCTAAATTGCCCAGATTCCCTCCAACTTGTGATCCTTCTGAGTACATGGGGTAACAACATGTGCATGACTATACCTTCCATTCTGAAGGCTGGTAGATTGGCCAAATGAACTGACATTAAAGTACCATATTGAATGTCTTTCGTCAGCTTTCAGGAGGGTCTCTGAAATAGGAAAAATATGACAACCTTTGATAGTCAGAGAAGAAAGTCATTTGTCAAATCATCTGGATTCTCCCATGTCAATAAGCTTATCTAGGCTTATCCTTAGAAAAGATATTAGTGCCTTTGCACTTTATATCACACCATACACAGTTTCATTTAGAACTTAATGAGTTGGACTTAATGATTGAATGATACAAACTTTCCTTTTGCTATGAACCTCTACATTTCAGGATTGCAAAACAAGAAAAATTATTAAGCCACTCCCCGAAAGCCACAGAAAAACTTTGGTGATAAATGCTGACATCTGTGTGATCAAAGGACGTGGTTCCTTGTCTCAGTTCTTTCTGCACATAACTGAGAGCCCCCTAGTTTACCTGTGAGCCAAGTAGAATGAAGAAATATCCAGATGTCTGACCTCATTTTATTAAAACTACTTCATTTTTATTTTTTTTTGTTTTAATTAGTTATACATGGCAGTAGAATGCACTTATATACTTTGATGTATTATACATAGTTGGGATATAATTTCTCATTTTTCTGAGTATATATATTGTAGAATCACATTGGTCATGCAGTCACATACAGTAATGAAAAAAAATAATAATAACATTACCTTAGATTAGGTAGAGGAAAGTGAAAGGAGGAGAAGGCAGGGGATGTGGGGATAAGAAAAATAGTAGAATAAAATACTTCATTTTTATTATAAAATGTCACTTTTCCTCCTTTCCCTTGATTATCTACTAAGGCATTTAAACTGGTCCAAAAACATTTATCCAGCAAAATTTTGTCTAAGAATATACTTTCGAGACCAGCGGCCCGCCGGCGTGGTAGACACATTGCCCCAATTGGAGGAGGGGCGGAGCAGAGACGCCGCCTACGCCTGTAAGGTGGGAAGACCTGCGACCGACCAGCGGAGCAGGCCCAGCGGCCTGCCGGTGTGGTAGACACATCGCCCCAATTGGAGGAGGTGCGGAGTAGAGCCGCTTCCCACGCCTGCAAGGTGGGACCTGCGACCGACCGACGGAGCAGGCCCAGCGGCCCGCCAGCGTGGTAGACACATTGCCCCAATTGGAGAAAGGTCCCAGCTGCTGCCCACAAGGTAGACAGACCGTGCGTCCTGGAGAAGGGGCCCGGCGGCACGCAGGCCTAGTTGAAAGATCGCCCCAATTAGAGGAGGGGCACAGCCACCGCCTGCACCTGCAAGGTAGGCAGACCTGCAACCTGGAGAACAGGCCCAGCGGCCTGCCAGCGTGGTAGACAGATCATCCCTATTGGAGGAGGGGCCCAGCTGTTGCCCGCAAGGTAGGCAGACCACGCGATCTGGAGAAGGGGCCCAGCGGCCCGCCGGCAAGATAGATCACTCCAATTGGAGGAGGAGCACAGTTGCCGCCCGCCCCTGCAAGGGAGACTTTGCAACTATACAAGAGCAATATAAATATATAGGGGGATAATTCAATAACACAACAGTCTCACCAAGCAGAAAGAAATGCAAGCAGTATGAAAAGACACGGAAAGAAAGGACCACAAGCAATGCAGGTCAACTCAACTTTAGAAGAGGTAATAGCTGCAGCAGATGGAATGTCAGATAAAGAATTCAGAATTTACATGCTTCAGATGATCTGGAGTCTCAAGGAAGACATTAGACAGCAAAATCAGACAATGAAAGATCACTTCGACATTGAGTAACATAAACAAATCCAAGAAGCAAAAGATCAACTATACAGGGAGATAGAGGTTATAAAAAACAAACAAACAGAAATCCTAGAAATGCAGGAAGCAATAAACCAACTTAAAAACTCAAATGAGAATACTGCCAGCAGAGTAGAACACCTAGAAGATAGAACATCAGACAATGAAGACAAAGTATTTCAACTTGAAAAGAACATAGACAGCTCAGAGAGACTGTTAAGAAACCATGAGCAAAACATCCAAGAAATTTGGGATAACATAAAGAGACCAAACTTAAGAGTCATTGGGATACAGGAAGGTATAGAGGTCCAAACCAAAGGAATGAGCAATCTGTTCAACGAAATAATACGAGAAAACTTCCCAGACTTGAAGAATAAGACAGAATCCCAAATCCTAGAAGCCTACAGGACACCAAATGTGCAAAATCATAAGAGATCCACACCTAGACACATTATAATGAAGGTGCCCAATATACAGAATAAGGAGAAAATTCTAAAAGCTTCAAGAGAAAGGAAGCAGATTACATTTAGGGGTAAACCAACCAGGATAACAGCTGATCTTTCAACACAGACACTGAAAGCTAGAAGATCCTGGAACAACATATTTCAAATGCTGAAAGAAAATGGGTTCTAACCAAGAATTGTGTATCCAGCGGAATTAAGCTTCAGGATGGAAGAGGAAATTAAAACCTTTCACGATAAACAAAAGTTAAAAGAATTTGCAGCTAGAAAACCATCTCTTCAAAACATCCTTGGCAAAACATTACAGGAAGAGGAAATGGAAAATAACAATGAAAACCAACAGTGTAAGGTAGTACAGTAAAGGGAAAAATAATCAAAGAGGAAAAACAAACCATGTTAAGTAACATAAATAAACAAATATGGCTGGAAGAAGAATCTATATCTCAATAATAACCCTAAATGTTAATGGCTTAAACTCACCAATTAAGAGACACAGGCTAGTAGAATGGATCAAAAAAAAAAAAAAGATCCAACAATATGCTGCCTACAGGAGACGCATTTGATAGGAAAAGACATACATAGACTGAAGGTGAAAGGTTGGAAAAAATCATATCACTCATATGGACTTTGGAAACAAGCAGGAGTGTCCATACTCATATCAAATAAAATAGATTTCAAGCCAAAGTTAATCAAAAGGGATAAAGAGGGACACTACATACTGCTCAAGGGAACCATACACCAACAAGACATAACAATCATAAATATATATGCTCCAAACAATGGTGCAGCTATGTTCATCAAACAAACTCTTCTCAAGTTCAAGAGTCTAATAGACCACCATACAATAATTATGGGAGACTTTAACACACCTCTCTCACCAATGGAGAGATCTTCCAAACAAAAGTTGAATAAAGAAACTATAGAACTCAATAATACAATTAAAAACCTAGACTTAGTTGACATATATAGAATATACCACCCAACATCAAGCAGTTACACTTTTTTCTCAGCAGCACATGGATCCTTCTCAAAAATAGATCATATATTATGTCACAGGGCAACTCTTAGACATTATAAAGGAGTAGAGATAATACCATGCTTCTTATCTGATCATAATGGAATGAAACTGAAAATCAACGATAAAAGAAGGAAGGAAAAATCATGCATCAATTGGAGAATGAACAATAGGTTACTGAATGATCAATGGGTTATAGAAGACATCAAGGAGGAAATTAAAAAATTCTTAGAGATAAATGAAAACACAGACACAACATATCGGAATCTATGGGACACAATGAAAGCAGTTCTAAGAGGAAAATTCATTGCTTGGAGTTCATTCCTTAAAAAAAGAAAAAACCAACAAATAAATGATCTCACAGTTCATCTCAAAATCCTAGAAGAAGAGCAAATCAACAGCAAAAGAATTAGAAGGCAAGAAATAATTAAAATCAGAGCTGAAATAACTGAAATCAAAACAAAAGAAATAATTGAAAAAATTGACAAAACTAAAAGTTGGTTCTTTGAAAAAATAAATAAGATCGACAGACCCTTGGCCATGCTAACGAAGAGAAGAAGACAGAGAACTCAAATTACTAGCATACGGGATGAAAAAGGCAATATCACAACAGACACTTCAGAAATACAGAAGATAATTAGAAATTATTTTGAATCCTTATACTCCAATAAAATAGAAGATAGTGAAGGCATCGATAAATTTCTTAAGTCATATGATCTACCCAGATTGAGTAAGGAGGATATAGACAACTTAAACAGACCAATATCAATCGAGGAAATAGAAGAAGCCATCAAAAGACTACCAACTAAGAAAACCCAGGACCGGATGGGTATACAGCAGAGTTTTACAAAACCTTTAAAGAAGAACTAATACCAATACTTTTCAAGCTATTCCAGGAAATAGAGAAAGAGGGAGAACTTCCAAATTCATTCTACAAGGCCAACATCACCCTGATACCTAAACCAGACAAAGACATTTCAAAGAAAGAAAACTACAGACCAATATCTCTAATGAACCCAGATGCAAAAATCCTCGATAAAATTCTGGCGAATCGGATACAAAAACATATCAAAAAAATTGTGCACCATGATCAAGTAGGATTCATCCCTGGGATGCAAGGCTGGTTCAATATACGGAAATCAATAAATATTATTCACCACATCAATAGACTTAAAGATAAGAACCATATGATCATATTGATAGATGCAGAAAAAGCATTCGACAAAGTACAGCATCCCTTCATGTTCAAAACTCTAGAAAAACTAGGGATAACAGGAACATACCTCAATATTGTAAAAGCTATCTATGCTAAGCCTCAGGCTAGCATCATTCTGAATGGAGAAAAATTGAAGGCATTCCCTCTAAAATCTGGAACAAGACAGGGATGCCCTCTCTCACCACTTCTTTTCAACATAGTTCTCGAAACACTGGCCAGAGCAATTAGACAGACGAAAGAAATTAAAGGCATAAAAATAGGAAAAGAAGAACTTAAATTATCACTATTCGCAGGTGACATGATTCTATACCTAGCAGACCCAAAAGGCTCTACAAAGAAACTATTAGAGCTAATAAATGAATTCAGCAAAGTGGCAGGATATAAAATCAACACACATAAATCAAAGGCATTCCTGTATATCAGCGACAAATCCTCTGAAATGGAAATGAGGACAACCACTCCATTCACAATATCCTCAAAAAAAAAATAAAATACTTGGGAATCAACCTAACAAAAGAGGTGAAAGACTTATACAATGAAAACTACAGAACCCTAAAGAGAGAAATAGAAGAAGATCTTAGAAGATGGAAAAATATACCCTGTTCATGGATAGGCAGAACCAACATCATCAAAATGGCGATATTACCAAAAGTTTTCTACAGGTTTAATGTAATGCCAATCAAAATCCCAATGGCATTTCTTGTAGAAATAGAGAAAGCAATCATGAAATTCATATGGAAAAATAAAAGACCCAGACTAGCAAAAACAACTCTAAGCAGGAAGTGTGAATCAGGCGGTATAGTGATACCAGACTTCAAACTATACTACAGAGCAATAGTAACAAAAACAGCATGGTACTGGTACGAAAACAGGCGGGTGGACCAATGGTACAGAATAGAGGACACAGAAACCAATCCACAAAATTACAACTATCTTATATTTGATAAAGGGGCTAAAAGCATGCAATGGAGGAAGGATAGCATCTTCAACAAATGGTGCTGGGAAAACTGGAAATCCATATGCAACAAAATGAAACTGAATCCCTTTCTCTCGCCATGCACAAAAGTTAACTCAAACTGGATCAAGGAGCTTGATATCAAATCAGAGACATGGCGTCTGATACAAGAAAAAGTTGGCTATGATCTACATACTGTGGGGTCGGGCTCCAAATTCCTCAATAGGACACCCATAGCACAAGAGTTAATAACTAGAATCAACAAATGGGACCTACTCAAACTAAAAAGTTTTTTCTCAGCAAAAGAAACAATAAGAGAGGTAAATAGGGAGCCTACATCCTGGGAACAAATCTTTACTCCTCACACTTCAGATAGAGCCCTAATATACAGAGTATACAAAGAACTCAAAAAATTAAACAATAAGATAACAAATAACCCAATCAACAAATGGGCCAAGGACCTGAACAGACACTTCTCAGAGGAAGACATAAAATCAATCAACAAGTACATGAAAAAATGCTCACCATCTCTAGCAGTCAGAGAAATGCAAATCAAAACCACCCTAAGATACCATCTCACTCCAGTAAGATTGGCAGCCATTATGAAGTCAAACAACAACAAGTGCTGGCGAGGATGTGGGGAAAAGGGTACACTTGTACATTGCTGGTAGGACTGCAAATTGGTGCAGCCAATTTGGAAAGCAGTATGGAGATTTCTTGGAAAGCTGGCAATGGAGCCACCATTTGACCCAGCTATTCCCCTTCTCGGTCTATTCCCTAAAGACCTAAAAAGAGCATGCTACAGGGACACTGCTACATCGATGTTCATAGCAGCACAATTCACAATAGCAAGACTGTGGAACCAACCTAGATGCCCTTCAATAGACGAATGGATAAAAAAAATGTGGCATTTATACACAATGGAGTATTACTCTGCATTAAAAAATGACAAAATCATAGAATTTGCAGGGAAATGGATGGCATTAGAGCAGATTATGCTAAGTGAAGCTAGCCAATCCCTAAAAACAAATGCCAAATGTCTTCTTTGATATAAAGAGAGTAACTAAGAACAGAGTAGTGAGGAAGAGCATGAGAAGAAAATTAACATTAAACAGGGATGAGAGGTGGCAGGGAAAGGGAGAGAGAAGGGAAATTGCATGGAAATGGAAGGAGACCCTCAGGGTTATACAAAATTAGATACAAGAGGAAGTGAGGGGAAAGGGAAAAAAGAAAAAACAAGGGGGAGAAATGAATTACAGTAGATGGGGTAGAGAGAGAAGAGGGGAGGGGAGGGGAGGGAAGGGGGGATAGTAGAGGATAGGAAAGGCAGCAGAATACAACAGACACTAGTATGGCAATATGTAAATCAATGGATGTGTAACTGATGTGATTCTGCAATCTGTATATGGGGTAAAAGTGGGAGTTCATAACCCACTTGAATCAAAGTGTGAAATATGATATGCCAAGAGCTATGTAATGTTTTGAACAACCAACAATAAAAATAAAAAATAAAAAAAGAATATACTTTCATACTATAAAATCTATAGTAAACCAGATCAGCAAGATATTTACCTATAATACATTTCATTTGTTCATTATAGAATAATGTTTGTATATTAGTATTATGGCTTTCATCTATACTGAGGGATTGTATAGGATGAGTGCAATGTAATTAGCAATATATGTAGGGAAATTGAGGACTTCATTACATCACACTTTCTCCTTTCTGAGGCTCTTCCAAGGAGTTCCTGCCTGGGCTTCTCCAGATCAATTGATCTGTTTTTATCTTATATATAGTGTGAATCATTTGACTGACTTGGGCTTTTGTTTCCTTTTTGTTTTTATTTTCATTTTTGTTTGGTTTGGTACTGGGAATTTAATCCAGAGATGCTTAACTACCCCCAGTCCTTTTTATTTTGTATTTTGAGACAGGGTCTAGCTAAGTTGCTTAGGACCTCATTAAATTGCTAAGGCTGGCCTTGAACTTGTGATTCTCCAGCCACAGCCTCCCTAGTTACTAGGATAACTGACTGACTGACTGACTGGCTGGCTGCTTTCCTTGGTTTCTGCTAGAAAACTCAGAGTTGAATTTTCTTAGCCTTCAACTTAGAAAATATGAAGAATTTCAAGGCTGTGTTTCCCAATAGGTATTTGTCAAACCACTAGTTTCTCAAATATAGCATTAAAAAAAAGAAAGAGATCCAGATCAAATAAACTTGAGTTATGTCACATTTTGTTGATTCACAGTACAAAATTAAAGATTTGGAAGATTCTGTAGTAATCTGTTTAAATTGGTTTCAATATATTCAAACATTTCTACTAAGAAACTCTGTGTGTGTGTGTGTGTGTGTGTGTGTGTGTGTGTGTGAGAGAGAGAGAGAGAGAGAGAGAGAGAGAGAGAGACCTACTAACATCTGGCCTAATAGCATTCTGTGGAAAATATTTGATAAGTTCTGCCATGCAGTTTGCATTCTAGATACCTTTTGCATCTCTATCCCTTTTAATTCTCTTCTGTTTCTTGTGTCATGTTCAAAGTATATCTTTGAGTTACCTGAAACCCTTTCAAAACCAGATATGACAAAAATAAATAAATGAATAATAAATAAACATTGAGCTGTATGATCTTGAGTAAGTAACATTCAAATTCCAGGCCCTGTTTCTTGCTTAAGGCATCAGCCATGTTAAACACATAGAGCTAAAACATCTCAAGACTGCTTTCCAACCAGCTCTTCGAACCAGCTCTTCCTCTGTTCTGTTCCTTTAGGACAGAGCTTCATGAGCAGCTGACACTATCTCTGGTCAGTGTTCTTTTTCCACATAACATCAACCTTCTTTGACCAAGTTAACAGAGTGGGAAAGGGAGTCAGAGATGCCCACGGGTAAAGTGAGGGTCAACCAGGGCAGTCCAAGTTCCAGAGGTCATGAGGATGAGGCGATCCCCTTTCAAAATCCAGGGAGGCCAAGGACAAAAGTCATTTAAACACATCAGAACTGTGAAAGGTGCTTGGCTATAGAAAGAGATTAATAGAAAGCTTGGTCTTTCTATCCTGAAATTTGTTCATTAAACATAAATTTATGGAGGGTTTACTGAGACCTGGCTGCCAGGACCTATGCCAGATGCTGATGACCAGAAGGAGTAAGACATGGTCTTTGCCCTCTGAGAAATTGGTTTGTCTAAAAAGAGGGTAAGGACACTGAGAAAATATTATTAGTTGGAGTATATATATATACTATATTAAGGTGATCAGGTACTGTTGAAGGTACTGGAATGGTGTCCACATTCTAGCTGACACTAGGTGTGAACCTAGTTCTGTGAAAGCATAAAGAATGACTTCCTTTGGAAAGCCAGGAAAGACTTCACGGGGATGTATCCAGGTGGATGTGGGTTTTACAAGATGCACAGAACTTGTCTGTAAGAAACACACACACACACCACTGGAGAGTGGTGCTAAGAAAGTAATTTTAGATAAAACAGCAGTATTTTAGACTGATAAGAAGTTTCGTACAGCTGAAGTACAGGGGTTTTGGAAAGTGAAGAGTGACAGAAGGTAAGCAAAAGCTGTACTAGATCTCTAATGGCCTAAAAGCCAGAATGATCCTTTTAAATGAAAATCTGTTCTGCCATTCCCCTGATGAAGACCTATTAGTGGTTTACCATTCATTCCTTGCAAAGATTCTTTATCATGATCTACTTGAATGAGGATTTCCCCTTGCTCATGCTTCTAGACTCACCTCATATCATTTTCTCTGTGGTTGTCTGCTGTCCCATTGTAGTGGCCTTACCACTCTTTTGAATATGCTACACTCAGAGCTTTTGCTCATGCCATTTTCTCCACTCTTCTCCCTACTATAGCTTCTGTTCATCTTTTATATCATAGCTATAATGTAGCATCTCAAAAAAAGCAGTTATTCCCTTAGACTAATTCAGTCTCTGTTAAGTGTCCTAATCCAACAGACCCTAGTTTTATAGTACTATTCTTCATATGATGTATCAGTACATTATATCATGATGTATCACATTGTATTATATCATATTATAGTATAACACAGTATAATGTATTGTGTCACTGTGTATGGTGGTATGACAGTGTATACATTGTACTGGTGTTACATTGTATTGCTTTGTATCACAGTATATCCAATATTACAATATGTCACATTGTATTGTAGTATATCACTGTCACAGTACATCATATCCTATTCCAATGTCTCACGTTGTATTGTGATATATCATGTTGTACTACATTGTATTGCATTTCATGTCTTCCTCTCACTGGAATGTAAAATTCAAAATGTATTTCCTCTGTTGCTATTGTATTTTCCAGGTTCTAGAACAAAGCCTTATGCTTAGAAGAGGATCTGTTATGTACAAGTAGGAAAAGTTGCATTCTTGATTACCATGTTGGACAGTCACATGCATATTTACAGATTACAAACAAAACTACTATTGAAATTGGTTTAATCTCATTGTTTTCCAAACATACTCACCTACTGCATAAGTCATTGGCATTTTGTTGGACACCTGTGTTCCAAGAAATATCATGACAGATACCATGTGATATGTTTTCCTCCTCCATCCTAAGAAGTGCATGTCTGTAACCATGTTTCATGGCCCTGCCCTGCCCTAACCACCTGAGCGCTCTGGACTTATAAAGCAATGGGGAATAAGGAATGACTTCCTTTAGGAAAGCCAGGAAAGACTTGGAAGTCATCATGGTCCTTGTGTGAGTAGAGAAGAGGAAGTTGGTTTACAGGAAAAAAAAAATAGAGTAATCACATGCAATAATGCCTTGGGCAGGGCTCCCATACTCTGAAAGGTCAGGAAGAACAATTTGAGTAAGAAGAACTGAAGAGGCATGCTTTGTCTAAAGAAAATCAAATTCAGAATTCTTTGAGCTAGAGGTTCTCAAACTGTTCTGCCAGCCTCATACAGGAACTTGTTAGAAATGCAACTCTTCAAGATCTACCCCAAGAGATAGAAATTATGGGGTCGACTCAGCAATCAGTGCCTTTACAGACCTTTGGATAGTTACACACTTCACACTGCTGGCCAAGCTGTATACATCTGAGAAACAAATGTAACACACATGCTGACAACTGGTGACCTTTTTGAAAGCCAGAGAAGCAATATAACAGTCTTAACTCACTAGTCTGGGTTGCATTCCCTCATACTGCCTAGTAATCTAAGACCTAGAACAATTCTTACATGGTCTCAATAAATTCCCCTTTTTGGTTAAGGTAGTTTGGTGAGATTTTTGTTGCTTTGAACCCAAAGATTAAGCCACACAAAATAAAACAAATAAACAAAAAATCTGGAGTTAAGTCCTGGTTTTGCCAAAAAATGAGCTGTGAGTCTTAGGCAAGCCCTTTCCTTCTGAGTCACAATCCTATCACCTACAAAATAATGGGGTTGGACTGGATAGCTCAGGCACCTTCTCCCTCTAATATGCTGACCTAGCCATTGGCACCTCTGGATGATCTCTTGGCTATGCAGATCCCCTGAGTAAGTTCCATAAATTTAATTAGTGCTACTCATTGACTCCAGGGAATTAAAGTAGTTAACATAGAAAATTTTAAAAGAACTCCAGTTCTGTATGTCTTTCTTTCCCTGTCTGTTAAAAGCACAATCTATTAATTAAAAGAGGCTTCAAATGAGATGAGATTCCTCCTCCTCCTCCTCCTCCTCCTCCCCCTCCCTCCTCCTCCTCCTCCTCTTCCTCCCCCACCCCTCCTGAGACAGAGTCTTGCTGTATTGCCCAGGCTGGCCTTAAATTCCTAGGCTCAAGCTTATTGAGCTTATTGCCAGGTATGCACTACCATGCCTGGCAATAACCTTTAAATAAGGCTTATTTGATGTTCCAATTCTTTTGCAATTTAAAATTAAATTTTAGCACATTACAATTAGTCTAACTTCAGTTAAGGCTGTTGTTCACATAAATGAAATGTATATAGTAATAGAATCAAATTCTATTTGCTGAAAAAATATTATATATAATGCAATTCATTTGAACAACTAATCTTAAATGAAATGGCAAAGCATTTTAAAGATTCTAAACAAGTAAAAGGTTTCAAGAAAAGCAGCCTAAAAGTCCTTGAGTAAATAGTAAGAACATCCTCTATTAAGACCCCAAATTCTACATTATATAACTTCTTAATGGACAAAAAATTAAAAACTAGTACTGTTTTCACCTTTAAATTCCCACCCCAGTAGTCTGTTTTCTGATGCTGAAATGAAAACAGTGACCAAATTCTTTGATGAATAACTCATTACAATGAGAACTGACAGCTTCCAAAACAAGACAAAGATTTTCTGTATCTCTCAGATGCCAGAAAAAGCAAAGGAAATATTTCAGTCTAATACCCAAGAATGAACTCTACATTTGCACCTTAAATAATAACTGCTTTTGAAATGATCACACTTAAGTATGGTTTTTAAAAAGCAAAAAATTAAAAATAATAATTTAAAAAATATCCTCAAGGCAGAGAAAAGGGGAAAAAATACTATTGAGAGGAAGAAAAAAAAGGAAGAAATCTTTCAACAAAGTAGAAACTGTTAGTCTCTCTGTGTCCCTGAAAGGTTTTGATCCAACCCTATTTGTTATCCTAGCAAAGCTCTTCTGAAGAAAGGTCTCAGTGTAAGAACTGCTTGAAAGAAGCCAACCCCTTGGAAGTAGGAACGGCTTGGCCATTTATTAATGTCAAATATACTGCCTGCATGAATTAGTCAGCTTGTCATTTGGAAGCCATACAGAAAAGTCCTCATGCACCTGCCTCTCAGTGTCCCAACACTTCTGGCTTTAATGAGAGCAGTAACAATCACCAGGAAAAAAAATTTTTTTTAAGCCGAACATAACTACATTCTTCTTTCTGAATAGTCGATTTGTCTATTTTTTTAAGGCTTTTTACTAAAGTATCATCAGTAACCCAAAACAGAGATTGTTCAGATTTAAAGTAAAAGGCAAAACAGTCATTTTCCTAAACTGGCATGATTTAGCCAAATTACCACAAAACTGACATTAGAAACAAAGAGAAATAGAGCTGGAAAAGGCCAGATTTTCTTACTGGCAGTACCACAGTGGCAAATATCCCAGAACTTAGGAAAGCTGCCAAGTAGAAGAGAGAAAATTAAAGGACTTTCCCAAAACAGCCAAGCCTAGGGCACACTATATTCCCAATAGCTGGAGTGAGCTTCAGAAGCAACACACAGGTATAAGGTCCAGCCTTATTCTTTATTTACAGCACATTTTAAAGTCATTAAATCAAGTACAAAAGGAATGACCCCATTTCCTGGATTAGCATCAGACATTCTTCCTACCAGCTGCACTTACGTCATTTTTATCTATCTTCTGCTTTTCCTTTTGGTGAGTAGGAATGGGGACTTGCATATGGCAAAAGAGATTTCAATCTCAGAACTCAGAATTCAAATGCCTACTTGCAGGGAAACAAAGGAAGTGACTCTCTTTTGAAAGGCAGTGAGAAACTCTGCTTGAGTTATGAGGGCCACTGATGGTGTGGGAGGCATCATGATGAGATTTCCTCCTGTAGGTGATGCATGCAGGTTGACTACCCGGGCTACGACATTATTGGGTTGGCAACACCTCCATCACCCTCTCTTCTATCTCAACCTGGGCACCACCAAATCTAATGACAAATGAGGGAAAGTTATTACACATAGAAAACCAAAGTGAATGGGAATAGGGGTGTATTGAACATAAAAGAAGAAACTATAAATGATCAAAAGTTGCTCAGGGCTGCCTTCTGACATTGTCATGGAAATCTTTGATCCATCGCTTCATGTGTTCAATTTCCAGGGCACGTGCTAATAGCACAGATGTAGGATCCAAGGCATTGTTGGCTCTAAGATCCAAATGATGGGCCCCCTCCTTGATGGTGACTGCAACCAGGGTGTCTGTGATGTCTTTGGTTACTCCACCTCCTGACCAGGGGTCTAGATCACCATTGCTGTGAATGAAGGAAAGAAAAAATAAGGCTGTTAGCTACGCTTAAATAAAATAGGAGAAATATATTATATGCATAACACCAAAAATTATAAACCTTTAACTTGGGGGATTTGATCTGAGGATCTAATTGTCTTACAGAAAGGTGATTCCTACTGGAGTTTTCTAATATTTCTTATAAAAAGAAAAAATAACCAAAGAAGACTATATTTGGTGCCTCCATAAATCAACCTAGACTATACTAGGACTTGGAATTTAGAAGACTGAATTCCAATCCCAGCTCCATTATTCAAAAGTTTTGTGATTCTCGTTACCTGACTCAGTTTTCTTATCTGTAAAATCGAGAAAACAAGATCTACCTCATAATTTTATAAATATTAAACAGGATGGTGTATTTTGACGTCTTCATAAGCACAAGGATCAGGCACATATGAGTTCCTCGATTGAAGCTTTCTTTTCTCCTAGGATCAAACTACCAAAATGAAAAAGCAATAAAATCTCCATAGTTAAAAATGTAAGTTATCTCAGCTCAAAGAAAAAGAAAGCTGTAAAAGAATTTTTTTGTTGTTGTTGTTGTTGTTCAGTACAGTACTTTGGGAAATAAGCTGGTAGAACTGAAAAAATGTCCCCAGAATCTGGAATCAGAATATCTGGTCATTATTTAAAGATCTTCATTTTGGATTAACTTTAAAGTTCAGAAAATGCTACTAGGTTATTAGTCTCACTCACAAAACACATTTCAAAATGATATGAACAGGATGTCATTGCAACAGATTGTATAGTTTAGCTGAATTTTTAAAAGAAAGGTACAACCATAGATGACATCCCTAATAATATTTTTGCATAGCTTTGTTGAGATTTGATTCATATACCATAGAATTCATCCATTCAAAAATGTAGAGTTCAAAGCTTTAGTATAGTCAGAGTTATGCAACAATCACCACTATTAATTTCAGAACATATTCATCACCTCAAAAAAGAAACTCATACACATTAGCAGTCACTCCCCATCCCCCCAACCATATCTTCTCACTCTTAATCACTGGCAACCACTAAACTACTTTCTGTTTCTATATATTTACCTTCTATTTCATCTAAATGAATTGTATAACAGGTAGTCTTTTTAACTTTTTTCTTTTGCTTGGTCTAATATATTCCAATTTCATCCATGTTGTAGTACAGATCAGTATATCATTTCTTTTTATTGCCAAATAATATTTTATTGTACAACTGATAAATGGATAATAAAATACTATATTTTATTATCCATTTATAAGTTGATACACAATTGGATTATTTCCACTTTCGGGCTATTAAGAATATTACTCCTACAAACATTCTCAAAGACAAGTTTTTGTGTGGATACAGTTTCATTTCTCTTGGGTATAGACCTAGAAATGGAATTTCTGGAACATATGGTAATTTAAGCAATTATGTATATGTGTGATCCTGGGGATCAAACCCAGGACCTTGTGCATGCTAGGCAAGTGCTCTTCCACTGAGCTACAACCCCAGCCCTCTTTTGATGAACTGCTAGACTGCTTTCCCAAAGTGGCTGTTCTATTTTACATTTCCACTAGTTACATAAGAGGCTTTTAATTTCTCTATATATTCATCAATACTTAATATTATCTATCTCTTTTTATTATAGCCATGTTATTGGGTATGACACATTATCTCATTGTGAGTTTGTTTTGATGCTTGGGATTGAATCCAGGGGCCCATGCTTGCTAAGCACATGCTCTACCACTGATCTACACCCTCGGCCCTCATTGTGGTTTTAATTTGCATTTGCCAAAAAGCTGATGGCATTGAACACCTTTTCATGTGCTAATAGGCCATTTGTATGTATTATTGAGGAAAATGTCTATTTAGATCTTTGCCTGTTTTTTAACTGGGTTATCCATCTTTTTATTTTTGTGTGTTTTAGGAGTTCATTTGATATTCTGGATATAAGTCTTTTATCAAATATATGATTTGCAAATATTTTCTCTCGTCATTTACAGCAAGGTTTTTTATCTTGAGGAAATCCAATTTATCTTTTTTCTTTTGTTTGTGTTTAGCTATTTGTTTAAGAACTACTGTTTAGTTCATGATCATGAAAATTTATTTCCAAGTTTTCCTCTAAGGATTTTGCAATTTTACCTCTTGTATTTTGGTTCTTGATCTATTTTGAGTGACTTTTAAAATATGATATAAAAAAGGATCCAACCTCATTCTTTTGCCTGTGGATGCCCAGTTTTCCCAGGATCATTTGTTAACAAAAGTTATAATAAGTTATTCTTTCCTCAATGAGTTATCTTGGCACTCACATTGAAAACCAATTGACAATACATGTAAGAGTTGACTTCTGAACTCTGAACTTTCATTGATCTATACATCTATCCTTATGCCAGTATCATACTATATTGATTAATGTCACTTTGTAATAAGTTTGAAATCAGTAAGTTTAAGTTCTTCAAATTATTCTTCCTTTTCAAGATTGTTTTGCATATTTTGGGTGTTGCATTTCTATATGAACTTTAAAGGCAGCTTCTCAATTTCTATTAAAAATGCTAGCTGTACAAATTAGAATAAATTTAAAAAATGCTAGCTGGGATTTTGATAGTGATTGCACTGTATCTGGAGGTCAATTAATTTGAGGGGTACTTGAAAGAATTCCCCACACAAAGACACTTCGCGGGGAGAATT